AAATATGAGGCTATAAACCTAAATCGGACTCTGTCAATCATATTACAATGAACAATTCGTCGAAGAACAATGTGTTTACAATGTGTCTACAACGCTGAGAGTTGTGTCACCTAATAACTATTAGGTGAAATGGTTTGGAAATATCAGTGAACTAATTTACGAAGTCAGGGCTAACTTACTGGTTATATGCCGGAGTTTGGAAATGGTCGATTTAGTAAAGACCAGATGTCGTCAGACAATCTACTTGGATGCCAGGTAGGTGGGAAATACGGAATTCTACAACCCTTATAGAATTAGTATTTCTTCATTCCTGTCACCTATACTTGGGCGGCTATTCCATGTTGGTACATGTACTTGCATTGCAAACGCTTCGTTCTTTTTTTAAATGGGGAAATGTCAGGATTAGCGATGATACTAACCTTTGCCGAAGTCCAATTTAAAATATGAATATTTATTGATATACCAATTCTAGTTGGGAGTTTGGTCTAGATCTGCTTTCCATTAACTTGTATGAGATCTCAGGGTGTAATATTCAGTTCCGGAGTCAAATCTACCATGTTTCAGCATAAAAGAACGGACAAGTTGTCTGTCCTAAAGCTTAGTGAGCAACAACCAGTAGGGATTCTTTCACCAGTTCTTCTACTAAAACACCTCAAACTTCAATAGCATAGATAAAGATTGACGGACCTTATCAGTGTCGGAAGCGATATCATTTAGGCCATTCTTTACATCAAAATACGCTGATTATTTACCATGGGTATAGTTGACCAGTTTATTGACTGGTGTGAAGCTAAATTTATTCTATAATATAACACTGATATTGTTGAGCATAGGCTTGTTGACAGTTGTACTTCTTCGTCCTGATCAAGTGCATTGTTTGAACATCACCTCATAGCAGGAACTTCCCAACTATCCTGCTTTCTGAAGACAAATATCGTTGTCATTTGGAAGGTTATGGGTTATTGGAACGCAAGAAATATATTATGAGAACTCTATTTAGGGTTTTTTATGGGAGGTGTCTTATGATATCAAAGACGAAGCTCTGTACCAATGTCCATTCTTTTATCGTGAATCGGAACACAGGTTTATAGTGTTCTCACCTACAGTAAAATACGAAATTTCTAATGAGCTTCAAGATAAAGCAGTAAAAAATCGGGGTTTTGCTAAGTAGTATCTTTCGAAATTATTACAGATATTTCTGATCAAACTGTCAATTTAAACTAATATGTCGTGTGTACGTCTCGCGTCAAACATTACTGATCATGATTTTACTGTTTGTGTACATGATAATCTCTAATGGGTTCCGTACCTAGGCACCTTGTCTAAAACTAAATATCCCTATTTCACTTATTTATTTGAACACAAAGATATTGGTACAAGGGGGCACCAGATATATATATGCGTCACACGACAGCAATGAGAACGGGAAGAGAAAAAAACGTAGGGTGAGTATAAGACAGAAGAGAGGAAAAAAGAGAACAATGACGACCACAGATTAGTGTACGTTAGCGTAATAATAATAATGGGGGAAAAGGAAAGTTACGACCAGAAAGAATTCTTTCAGTTAAGGAAGGTACAACCACTTTTTATGAAGAAAGTAAAAGGAGGTTACAGCAGGATCGCCACTGGCTTCTATTCTGAGCCATATCTGATAAGGTTTCTAGCCACTGTATTACACCATCTTTAGGACCCCAGCCGGGGAATCGAGAAGAACAGGCAGAAACCAGCCCTTTGCAGCTTTCCTTCATACCAAGACACCGTGTCATACACTGACCACCTCTCCGCTCTTTCCAACTAGTCCCAGTCTCGGCAAATAATGCACGACTTGGAATTCTCTGAGACGAAATTCGTTTCAAGATGGTGACACCAATTGAATTATCATCTCTGTGCCCAAACACACGATGCCGAACCTCTGCATTACTGACATGGTGTTGCCACTGAATGTCAGCAATCCTTCGGAGACAACAATGATCGAACACAAAGAGTCGTCTAACGTCCTCAACTCGGAGAGGCCAGGTTTCACAAGCATAGAGCAAAACTGCTCTCACCGACGCGTTGTAGATCCGACCCTTTACGGCCAGACTAACATCATGAAGGCGCCGAAGATGGCACAGATTGGCATAAGCCACTCTGAGTTTCACTGTACGTGAATCGATCTCATTAATTACGCCACCACCAGCACTTATGCAGCTACCTAGATACACGAACTTCTCAACTACTTCTATCTGCTCACCATCCAGGGTGAGTACAGGATTAGAGTCCTGCCAGTCTTGTAGAAGTACTTTGCATTTCGAAGGTGCAAACCACGTACCGTACCTACGGACATTGATTGCCGAATGATTAAGTGCAGATTGTATGGCTTGCATAGTATTGCATAGTAAGACAATACCATCTTCATATTCAAGGTCGAGAAGTCTTTCTCCAGGCAGCAGATCTACACCGCCATTACTTACACACATCAGAGCTGTTTCCAGAATGTCATCGATGGCAAAATTGAAGAGGAACGGTGAAATTGGGCAACCCTGCCTAACCACACTGCTCGAATGGAACAATGGAGAAAGGTGGTTGTATGCCCTTACTCTGCCTGAGGTGATTTTATATAGGGCTTTTAGGATGTTAATAAACTTCTCAGGCACACCCTTCTTCAATAGACAATCCCAGAGAACAGTCCTGTCCAACGAATCGAAGGCAGCCCTGATGTCAAGAAACACTACGATTGTTGGCCTTTGATAAGTATGACGGTGTTCTAACATTTGGCGGAGGGTGAAGATATGACTAATGCATCCTCGTTGTTACGTCCAAGTTTTTACCCGTTCCCGCTACTGAGGTACGGTATGTCGATCTGTTTGCAATTTACGAACCCAAATGAGCAATTGGAACAAACTTCAATTTAGGTACCAAAGTTTATTCGCAATTTACAGATAGTCGACCAAATGTCGTCCTAACAGCAATAATTATAATAATTACAAAAAAACCTTCAATTTTATAGGTTCTCGGAGCGAAAACTCCCAAATACCAAACCGAAGACAAGAGAAACCAAAATGTCTGGAAATAGTGATATAAACAAACAAGTTCAGAAGTTGAGTGAAACAAATACATTCAAAAAACACAGTAAAATTATTCATATAAAATATAAAGGTTTTAATCAGACAGATGTTTTCAATTCTCCCGTAACACTCGACCAGAACGAAAACCAGCCTGCTCCTGGCAAGTCAATCTCCCTCGGATTTTGAACACCGTACGAAGTATGACGGAGGCCAGTAGTTTGGACGCAATCAGAAGTAGACTTATCCCCCGAATGACGTGAACCCTTTCTAAAGATAGGGACAACTATCGACTCATTCCATGATGTTGGAACACTCTCTAGTTTCCAGACCTTGGTAAACAACGCTGTCAGTTCCTTAACTAGGAAGTCACCACCATCTTTAAAAAGAGCCGGAGGTAAGTCATCTGGGCCAGGTGATTTGTAACGCTTCAAGAGTTGGAGTTCCTTGCGGACTTCCTCCTCATTTGGTGGATCAGTCGTCACCGGCCATGGAGGGCAGGACAGTCTGACCGATGTTGCCGGAGCAGCAGGCCAGTTGAACTGCCCTTCGAAAAATTCTGCCCATCGTCCAAGACGTCGATGGATGTTAGTGATTGGCATCCCATCATCCTCGCAGATTGTTTCACTCACACCAGACTTCTTGCTGCCAGTGGCTCGGATGAGTTGGAAGAGCTTCCGGTAGTTACCAGATGCAGCTGCTGCTTCCAGCTCATTAGCACGCTTCGACCACCAGGCTTCTCGGTCCTTACGCAAGCTTTGCCCAATTTCCTTACGTAACATCCTTCGTTTATGGTCAAACTCACGGTCACCCGGAGTAGACCGACGGGCTTCAATGAGTTGTAAGGAACCAGCAGAAACCCAGTGCTTATAAGCGGGACGTTTCGCAAACCCACAACTGACTGTTCCCGCCATTTTCATGGCGTCATGCAATTGCAACCAATGCTCATCTATACTTTTCGGTGGAGTGGTAGCTAGCCTAGAGGCTAGCTCGGTTCGATACTTACTTGCAACAGAAGTTGCAACCAGCTTGCTAACATCAATCCGTTGGTGGCGGTCACTTCGTTGGCCACTGAAAAGTAAGGCAAGATTGGCGCAGACCAAGGCATGGTCAGAGTCCAGATAGGTACTCCAAAAGGAGCGGCAGTCTTGTACACAACCACGCCAGCGGTAGCTGATCGCGATGTGATCAATCTGAGTCCAGGCTTGAGATGCAGAGGGAGGACGCCAGGTGGCACATCGGCGATGACTGTGCCGAAAGTTAGTGCTAGCCAGAAACAGGTTGTGGTCTGTGCACGGTTGCAGTAGACTGTCCCCGTTACCTGTCCTGCGATGGGGACCGTCTACTGCAACTGTGCACAGACCACAACCTGTTTCTGGCTAGCACTAACTTTCGGCACAGTCATCGCCGATGTGCCACCTGGCGTCCTCCCTCTGCATCTCAAGCCTGGACTCAGATTGATCACATCGCGATCAGCCACCGCTGGCGTGGTTGTGTGCCTGTAGTAGTATCAGATTATCAATGTATCCATTTGGTGTTAGTACATCCAAAGAAAAACACAGCCTTGAGGTATTTCACCGATTACTTGATAACAAAAAATCGACTTCAGAAGACACACTGACGAAACCTAACAAATTTAATCACAACACGTCTTGAAACATTGCTTGCGCCCAATTATTTTAGTAGGTTTTAAAGCAATTTTAAGAAACAAAAGGCAGAGCATGCCAAAAGTTGTCTGATTTATTGTTGAAAATTTTGAAAATATATACCAGAGGTATGACTAAGTAATCATGGAAACCTTTTACGATTAAGTAAGAAAAATAATGTTCAAAAAGTAATTTTTCGGATAAACAAAATCTTAAAGGAAATTAAATCACAATAAAATAGACCTGAGGAAAGGCAGGATAAAATACAGGAGGAATTAATACGTAAGAACGGAACATAGAATCTTTAAAATTATTTGTCTGTGGGACAACAATTGATCACTGCATTTTGACGTCGACGTAGATTCCAATTAAGACAATGTGCTAATCCACAAAACCAATCTGTAACCTGAAAAAGTTGAAGTTCAAGGTGAAATAAAGATCTTTGGGACACAACTTTTAATTCATGTAGAATCAAATTAGTTTATTATTTCATTTATCTTCTATTTAATTTTTGATGCACTACATTATATTAAGTAATGTTACTAAGTGATATAAGTAATTTCTTAATCCACATTCACATTTAGATTGTATCAGTGGATTTTTAAAAAAAAGTTACGTAATACGCTCATTTACTTTTTGAGTGCAATTATATTTCCACATTTTTATGGTCACATATTTTCATATAACATAACATTTCTAGAAATTTTATTTATGTTGGTCAGCTCTCCTAACCAAACAAACAAAGAGCGTAAATCATTCTTCTTATTAACTGTCGATTGTCGAGCTTCATACCAATCTATTTGTTTCATGTTCATAGTACAAAATTTAAATTCATTATTGTCCACTTACCTCGAAGATACCATTCCCTCTTGCTCGTTTCTTTAGTTATTTAACCAAAAAACCGGACAACTCATGACTCCTGATGAATCAGTTTCTAATGTTTATTCTTATTTTTATAAAAGAATATTATTTCTAGTCAAATCTCTTCTTTTGACCTCGGAATTTTTACCTACAGCTTGACTATTCGAGTATATATATAAGCTAAATATTCATGTGGAATAAGTCAGTATGATTCTACAACAGATCGACCTTTTTTAAACAGAAATGGAAAAGATTGTTACATAATAGATTTTAAAGTTATTAATTCTAACCGTAATCAATATTGTTCATAGTGAATAAGGAAAATTACAAGTTATGTAGTAATTTTTATGAGAAAAATAACAAAAATAATATTTTTTTTTGGTACAAATTGATGTTGAAATTTATGATTCTTGTGAACGTGATTTTATGTAACGATAGGTTAGATGTGATGATGATAAAGTATATATTTACATATATGAACTACTAATAGGTATAACATAATACGACGAATGAATATACATTTTTTAAAGGTTAATTTTATTATTATTATGGTGAAACTATCTAAGAATTATAAATTATTGGTCAGAAATAAAGTAATAGAAATATATCTAATTTAATCAATTTGTTAATAAATCTATACAAACATGAACTTAATGACCGGTGAAGAATTAATATTTAAAGCATTATATTTTGGTTATAAATAATTAGAGTAATTATAATAATAAAGATTATTATTTAAGTAAATAAATAAATAGCTCAGATAAGCATATTAATTCTGTGTATAAGGTTAAAATAATACACTGGTCTATAATATACAATAATAATTACAATATAGCTAAAGAGTAATTATAGTATGAAGTCTTATACATTAAAATAGCCAAACTGAGTAAAAGATTTAGTAATCGAACAATCAATTTAACCCTATTAACTTACTATGAATACATTTAGTATGTATATGGGTGTATATAGTTCACAAATATTAGATGTGTAGATTTAGAAAAAAAAACCAAATTAATTTGTATAAAATTTGATTTCAGTTGACCTTAGTATATAATCAGAACAAGTCAGATAGACGGATACACATGGAATGATTGCATTTGTAGTAATAAAAATGATAAATTTCTATAAATATGGAACGAAGTTATTTGTTTCTTGTAGTGGACGATTCAACTGTATACCATCACCATTCAAAACGGTTTGGTAAAGGAAGTTATGATAAATTTTGATAACGTTATGAGATAATCAGCTTTATCAGAACTATATAACATACACAAGTACGGAGCGGTTGTGATTTGCAAGTTAGGATATCTGAACATGCACCAAAATAGCTGTAGAAACAAATAGCGACCCAGTAAACACATATAACGAATACTTATCTGTTTTTATTAACAAACGCATAATTGAATCAAGTTAGAAAATAGGTTTTAACTCAGTCTTTGTTTTTGTACGACAGTTGTCACGGTTTCTTCAGAGCCTTAATCATGTGAAACTTCACCATGCACAGTACTCCTATGTGACTGAAGACAAATCTACAATTTTGACGGAATTTAGTTCTCTGGGATGGATGGTTTGGTCGTGGAGCTTTCATCGTTATTCTGAATGATACCATCAGCACAAACTTCAGGCAGAAGTGAAGTGATTGAATTTCTCTACATATGGCTCACAGCTTGTCCTGTAGACCTCGATGTTGATTGGTTTTTATTGACCTTAAATCTGTCATTGTTTACTCCTTTGTTTTGGTTGTATCTCCCATTGGTTTGATTTTTGGTCCTATATTTGTTCATAATTTTTCTGATTGGTTGATAAATTGCATCGATTTCGTCGTGTTTGTTGATTGTTGATTGACCTGAGTGCCAAGCTTCTAAAATTATCTGGTGCTTTTAGAATTGCCTCTATCCAAGATCTCTACATTCTTCCAGTCGAATGTATGTCCACATGCATTGATGTAAGCGAGAATATGTCATGGCGTATGACCACCAATTGATGATCATGCAGGTGAAGATGAAAGAAGCATACACTTTGTCCGATGTAGTGTTTTCACAGTTGGAACAATTTATTTTGTAGATGGTGTTCGGTTTTTCTCCTTTTTTTCATTTCGTCCTTTGGTTTGCATAGGATTGATTGAAGTTATTTTGTTGGTTTATGTGCTACACCTATTCCAAAAGGCTTCAACAATCTCGTTGTAATTTCTTTGTTGGTTTCTGTACTTGACTTTATTTCTAAAGATGCATATGGCAGGTATTTTTTGATGACGCTGATTGGGTAACCGTTCTTTTGAAAGGTGATCTCCAGGTATTTTTCTTCATTTTTTCGGACTGCAAGTGTGTCCTCGCCCTCTTGAACAAAGTTTGTACGCAGTTGATTTTGTGAGCTCTTGGGTTGTTATTGTAGTTGAGAATTTGATTTGTGTGGGTCGGCTTCCTATATACTTGAGTCTCCAGCTTACCTGTGTCGGTTCTGGTGATTAATACATTCAAGAATGGTAGTTTTTCTTTTGAAACCTGTTCCATTGTGAACTTTATGTCATCGAAGACGTTGTTGATCAGCTTGTAGGTGTTCTCCAGCTCATCCTTTTTGACGATGACGAATATGTCGTTCACATAACGAATCCAAATTTTCGGTCTGATCATTGGTAGGATCGAGGCTTCCAGTCTCTGCATCACTGCTTCGACAGCAAGTCCTGACATTGTGTTCCTTTCGTTTGTTCGTAGATTTTGTTGCTGAATTGAAAATATGTTCTTAAGTATAAATCTATGAGTTCTATTAAACTTTGACTTTGAGGATTCGTGTACTTTGACATATTTGTGTCGGTAAGACGCAGAGATAGTTTCCCTTGCTAAGCTTGGTTCAATTGAGGTGAATAAGGCTGTTACATTGAAGGGTATCATCAGCTCATTGTTATTGACTTGAATGTCCTTAATCTGATCGAGGAATCGTATGGGGGATTTGATGAGGTGTTTGGATGAATCCACTAAATTTTTCGTGAAATTTCTCTTGACAAATCGTATGTTGGGGTTCCGGGGAGTGATAAATTGGACGTGGTGGGATGTTTGGTTCGTGTATTTTCGGCCTACCGTAGAATCGAGGGAGTACTGATTTCATTCTCCATTAATCTTGCTTTGATATTTGGTTGTCTAACCTTTTGACTGGATTTGTGTTGATCGGTTTGTATACGCTATTATCCTGAAGTAGTTCCTCGACTTTCTTGATACATTCTTCCTTGTCCATGATCACTATTGTGCGTCCTTTGTCCATTGGAACTATGACAATATCTTCTCTAGTTCTGAGTTCCTTTAGTGGTAACATCGATTTGATACCTAGAGTAGTGTGATTTATGTTTTTTTATCTGATTAGTTCAGCTTGACCTTGATTTTTTTTAACATTAATAAATGTTTTAACAAATTAATGTGTGATTACATTGTTTAAAATCTATTTCACTAATATATCACATAGTTTTGATGAACTTCGTCTTCCTACTTACATTGTCGAAATTTACCAAAGAGATTAACTGTATCAAATGTCATGACAGTAAAGAGGATTACAACTGAAGTTTATGTAGTCTCATATATATTTTTAAAATATATAACATAACACCCAACATAATGTTTAACAAAAACACACTTGAGAAAAAACAACTTTAAACTACCAATTCATACCTCATTTTCACTGCAAAGGCATGGAACAGGGAACGGTGAAGCACTCACTAGGATAACGTCACCCTTATGCAATAAATTTGAGTGTCGCGAACGTCCATCAAAAGAAAAGTGTACAGTTGAACAACGAGCTTTACTGGCAATAGAGATTTCTAATTTTATAGATGTTGGAAGAACAATAGCACGTGAACTTAAAGCTAATGAATTGATTGGTGTTAATACTAGAGCGGGTACACATGGATGTACCATACTAGCACCAGCTGTCATTGAATAAGCTGTACTTCCGGTAGGTGTACTGATAATAAGACCTGAAAAAAAACGTAAGCATCAATAGGTCTTGAAAAATTAATTACTTTATTAGTCGAAAAGAATAGTTTTGTTTAAAAAATGAAGCGGACAAATAAGTAAACATTTAAATGAGAATAACATATATCAATGTAGTCTTTAGCAGTAATCAAACCAAATGGCATTTCGGAACAATTTTGATAGTTTCGTAATAGATATTTTGCACAACATACGGTTTTATGTTGTGGTAGTATATCCTCGAGAAAATTCCTAAGGCTTCATATTGCTATTAAATAACACCCAATGCTGTATAGATTTCAGGAGATAATGCGAAGTATTAATTACAGTTTATTATCGCCCGGCCCAAATCATAAGGCTACAAACACGAAGCGAATGCGAGTGAATATAAACAAATACCAGCGAGCAAATAAGGATGAATGAACGGATAAGATTCAAGGAGTACATATATGTAGGAAGTGAATAAGCCATCGAGAGATTTAAGCTAGTCAGAAAAATATGTGAGTAGTCTTTCATATATGATTAAGTATGTAGGTTGACAAGTTTCGTATGAAATGGGGTGGTAGGCGATAAAATCCATAAATTTCTAGTCTTCACAGAAGGTCAATGAAGTTTAAGGATTCACTTATTTACATCATAGCACCCCACCTACACTTGAGTCTGTATTCGTTCAATATTTTCAAGTCCTCCAATTGACTTGATTAACAGACAGTGTTATTCCAACAGTAACAAGCTGTATATCTTAGTTTTATTGTCATGTCCGTATGAAATTGATTTTAAAACCCTAACCCCCACTATTTACTTGAGGATGTGACTTTCTACCATTTCATAATACCAGTTGGTCATCAAAATCCAAATGAGTTTTGCATAAAATATGTATACAAAAGGAAGGGTCACGCTCAGCGACTAACAGCTTCTCAAGCGACACGACGGTTTGTTCCGAAGTAAATTCTTTATCTATAAGTTTAGACAGTCTGTCGGTGTTCGTTGTGAATTCTATGTATTTGTTCAGCTGATAGAAGGCTTTTATGCGGTATCGAGATAGTCAGTGAGTCATAATCACCAGTAGTTGAGTGTGTACAATTGTACACGTATTATATGATTCATTACACGATTACATTACATTACAAGATAGAATGATTCATTCGGTGTTGTAAAAAAATGAGAATTGTATATTAAATTTGTAATGAAATTAATAACACTTTACAGGTAAATACTACACTTCATTATAGAGTAAACATAATGAGATTCTATGTAATTACGATTGCACAGTTTAAGAAAATGCCAATGTCCGAAAAAAACATTTTCTTCAATGAAACGTCGACATTCTTTTTATTTAACTATTTCCGTGCTTCAATGCCGTAGGTAAACGACATGTTTATTGCAACTCTTTAAAAAAGGTGGTAATTCTGAATTGTTGATTAGGTTAATTTGTTTTCAGGTAAACTAGTGACTACGATCACGATAAACTTGTGTTTATTAAGAGTGAACTTTCCGATTCGCCCTCATGTACAGTGTATTTACCACTGAGATTCTATACTACACAATTTTCGGCGTTATACGTATTTCATCTGTGCAACATTTGACAAGTGAGCAGTTTTAAATGTCTTTATTTTTTATCTCATTTATACATCTGTTTATTCAGTTGATATTTAAGTTATGTTTTAGTATATTTTTAGAGGGATAATCTAAAAATAACTATACACAAGTGAAGAAACAGTCCGGTGTCGACATGATTGATGATAATAGGGATTACCATTTTTTTTCATTTAGGTATTTATTTCGCAGAATAATTTATTTCAATATTATTTATCTAAGTTTAGTAATGGTTATTAGTATTTCATTTAGAGATCAATAAGTCTATGAATCCCTAAAAAGTTTTTTTATTAATTAATCAAATAACACTAAGTTAGAGATTTCAAGAATTAGATATTTTAATCATATGACAATGCATCCTTAGATATTGTGTGATAATAGTTGTAAAAATTGTATTTGAAATAATCGTTTGTCCAAACATATTCAAATGTTACTTATGAGTATAGTAGGACTATGAAACATGATAGATTAAATGAACTCTTTGCATAGGTAAGTAGTGTACATAACTCCGATTCATTTTAAGTCAGATTTTATTGCTATTCACTATCGCTGAGTGAGTCTGTATGATTAATTTCATCAAATGTACTATTATTTTGACAATAAGAAAAAAATTATTGTGAGCATCCAATGTATTAAATAAATTCTTAATTTCAGTTATATACTAAAAATACACATTTTACATCTCGAATTTTGTTGGCATTCCACATCAAATAACTTAAAATCTCGCTACACACAGAATTAACTGTTGAACATGTTTGGACAAGTATTTAGCATTAACCTATTTTAAGCCTTTCGTCTCGTTGGTAATCCACATTTTCATTATTAAACAGTTAGCCCACTCGCATAAAAGTTAAATAATTGTCTTAATTCATTATTAATTAAGGTTAGTTACCTCGAGAATGTATTTTTCTAGATAGATAAGCCGACAGAGACAACTGTTTATAAACCTACCATTAGGACCATCCAATGTAAATGAGGCATTATGATCCGATTCGATCACCATGAATGTTAATAACGCTGGACTAATCCGGATAGGTATGGGGAGAAGGGAAAGACAATTTATACAGCTTTATTGTAAAATGTTGGACCGCAACATTTACACTTTAGGAATATTTACAGATGCTTGAACTGAGGGAATAATTAACTTGCAGTACATTGCCTACATTTACATCCAGATTATCACGTTGTGTGGTCTGTTTAACTTTGTTCTCCGCATCATTTTCTCGATGTTTTGGTGTGAATTTTTCAATTCACAAACAGTCCATAGGGTATCCCTGACATTTGAGTACTTTAAATATTTTTCTATGTAAAACTGCACACACAGAACCTAGTGGGTTTATATCTGAATTAGTGAAAAATTTGGATGTCCGTACCAGATAAAATATTGGTGTTTTCTTTAAATACTTATTCACTTATTCAAACAACAATGTTGATTCATAACTAAATTACGTTATACTCCAATATTTGCCGTGAATAAGTATTTTTTCCCTGTTATTGACATGGTCAGTGAAACAAAAATGAAGTTAGACAGAAGTTGCTGTAACAAAAAAACAAAACTTCAAATATAAACTCATGTACAAATGGGAAACCATCATATTTATCTAAAGCTTTCAAAAATGTTGAGAAGTATTAATAAGTATTCAATAAAACTTTGAAATGACCAGACAAAAACGCTTGAAAAACACTATGAAGTTAGACATTGACGCTATTGGATACCAGTTCAGTGTTCTAGAGGTTGAGCGTTCGCGCGATAGGTCATGGATTAGAATCTCACGAGGCGAGATCGTGGATACGCACTGCTTAGGAGCCCCATACTAGGACGAAACAGCCGTCCAGTGCTTCCAGGTTTTTCATAGTGGTCTAGCTTCAATTGACTCACAAATCTAACTATTAAATTACTATGAAATTTGTCTATTCAAAATTAACTCAATAAATAACAAACTATAATGCTGTAATACTGTATTGTCGTTTATAAAACGAAAACTGTTTCAAAAGATTATCATAAGAGAAGCCTTTTATGAACAAGAATACCATGGTAATAGAGTGTGGCTGGTCAAGCTTTTTGAGAAAAGAGACAGAACAAAAGAAAATCAAAAAAGACGAGAAATGTGAACAAAATTTTGAATTGTCAAGTCAACACGAAAATTTTTAATCATTTCATTTTCATCTAGACAGTTACGTAACACCACAAATCCTCAAACAATACATATTAGCAAAGAGCTTAGTGTATGAAAAGCTTTAAGTGATCACTGGGTTTCAATAATTTTATTTACTTATTTTCTTCATTCAGAAACAAGGAAAATCAGAGAGTGGCCAAGACTAGAATAATCAAATGTTTAATATATATTTAGAGGTAAACGTACAGAATACAAGCATTTCGTGTTGATGAGATTGGTTATGAGCTTTAGTTTATCGAGTTGTGTTGCTGTGTTCATAGAGTATCTAATGCACATAATCTACTTAAAAGATAAGTGGGCATATTGCTAATATTAACTTTAACAGTTAAAGAAATCACTTTTCCAACAATATGCAAGATGTGCACAAGGGATTTTTAGATAATCGAATTATAAATTAGAACAGAAATTGTGGATCCTAACAATTGTTCTTTTTATTTGAAACTGAGATTGTTTTAACATAGGCAAAAAATACGTATGCCAGTACTGTGTCAAGCCCAAACGGGTTATTCTAGCTTCCGGACGTATCGATTTATTTATGCTTCTTAAATCATATTTTGACCTTATCAACTATTTGCTTACTAACCTTGACTGCTTTTATAAGAACGTATGCATATCCAACGTTTACCTTATTCATCACGTATTCAGCTTATTTTTGTTTGACTATAAATATTGGACAATATACATAAGACAACAACATTGTTTTCGATTAGATCCTCATCGGGCTTTACTCTAACATACAGTAATATTTATATGCATATACGAAACGATTAAACCAATCAAGGTAGTTTATGATTGAGTCACGATTTTGTCGGATGGAGTTGATATGTTCGACCTCTCAGGTCTGATTCTACACTTCGTTTCTTTTATTATCGGTCTGAGGCAACGGGTGTATGAAATATACATATCCAAAGATAATCATTGTCCTTGACTTGTTTTATCCTGTTGTTCACCAATATGAATTAAATCGATAAATATATACGAGGGTAGGCGGCATCATTATTTCGTTAACATCATCATCACTTGATCAAATCGGAGTCAGACCAACGGACCACAAAAACTAGAAAAATGACATGTTCATTTTCGAAACTCTAAATAATAAATGATGAGAATCAATGATGATTGGTCTATAATTTTTAATATTTAAAATAAATAGTCCTTAAAACATTTGGCATGAATTTGTTTGTGAAAGTGGAAATAAACATGAGAAATTTATTCAAAAAAATAAATAAATA